ATGGTGGCTTTTGTACGTAGTTCTCTTCTTGCCAAAACGCAGTTCACACCACGGCTTGAGGTCAGTGCTGCGTACCGTTTCTGTCATCCTCATGCTGTCGTGGTCGACGATTTCGATCGCTTGCCCGTGGGTTCGGTCGTTCGCCGTTCCAGTCACGTATGCGCACGCACGACGGGGTTGCACAGATGCAGTTATCGGCTGATCATCTGTCTGTAAAGATTTAGCACTATAACTGGGCACTCGTTCCATTGTCACGCAAACAGCATCTGCCACTATAACAAAGACTGCACCGGACAGTTCACTGTCGTCGCCGCTTTTTTCTCAACGCACAATGGAACCGTTCTGTTGCTCTATCTGATTGTTTGTCCTTCAACCCTATGCTGGACATTCGAACTACATGACATACATGAAAACAGTGGCACACGCATCCGCCACTATGCCACATGCGCAAGACCGGCGGCAGCCTGGTCGATCGGTCGCTAAGCTTTGATCACACTAACGGAAATGGTCACAACGTTGGCTAACAGCCGTAACTTAGTTCCAATCGGATATCGGTGCTGTTCGCGTACGTTCGTCGCAACCTCTGCCGTTGACGCCATCGAAGAAGGTGTTTTCCTAGAAACAACTACAGCCAGCAAATTTTCCTCCTGACATCGGTCGTTTCCGAGACCAGCATTGCCATGCAACGGCCTCGATTCACTCATGTGCCGAGGGTGAGTCAAGTCGCACTGCCACCGCCACTGATCGTTGACGGAACCGCACACCACTGCCTAATACGAACCGCACAGCCGCGCAGTCGCGCAGCCGCCCGACCATACGCGACGACCCACAATGACGACGGCGGCAGGAGACAGTATGCACGGCTACGTGACCGGCGGCTGAGGCGGTGACGGAGGCACGACGCACGGACGGACGATGACATCGCCATCGCCATCGCCGGACTTGGCCACGCCGCACCGCCGTCTGCTAGCGAATCGGCTTCAAAATGTGCCTTTGTTTGGCGCAGCAAGCCGTTCTTCTCCAGCAGCTGTCGCGGCGGTGAAAAATAGAAGAACATCTGCCGCCAACCGAATCGATGCTGGCGCTGAATAAGCGACCAATCGCTGAACAACACCCATGAGTACCATAATTTTCCGATAACACCGTCACGGCCGAACCTTTTTAATTGCACTGGCGGAAATTAACAAACTCTGCTGCATAGTTACGTTATGTCAATAAAAGTTACATCTGCTGCTGTCTCAAACTAATACAATACAATCACATAATTCCGTCTGCTAACATTGTACGTTTCAGTGTTCGCGATGGGATGGCTGGTTATTCGTTTCAATCGTTCTTCAGCAACAGAGGAAAATAAAGTTTGGCTGACAACCGTAAGGTAGTGCAGCGCGTACGAAACCATCAAAGATTCAGCTCACTCCCGATTATTTCGTTTATTCGTTCAGTTCAGTTCAATTAACCCACTAACAGTGTTAGATCACAGAGTTAGGTCGTTTCTCACAAAGCCAGTACAGTGCTTTCGCTAGAAAATTCAGAAAACCGACTCTACTGCGGTCGGAACAGAATCGATTAGTGACGGCGGAGGCTCTCACTTGAAAGTATCACTTTCTTCTTAAAGTAAACCAGTCATGACAAATGACGGATATCATTCTCTGTTCAGAGGGACAATTACACAAATGTACGAATTTGTCTAGCGACGATGTTATTCCTGATTATCCAAATCTTAGCGATCAAAATGGTGAAAGCTTATTCCTTCAAGGAATGTCTTTAAGCCTATCTTTCGAATTAATCATCATTCATTGTTCAGAAGGTAGATGAAATGATGGACGGAAATTTCTAAATGATTTCTTCAGGAATTTAAACAAATGACAGCTCTGAATCTTCCGTCCAAGGCACCCTCAGTGTCTTTTCCTAAACTGTGCTTAAAGTGCACGAGGTGCCCTGCCAGTCACGGTTCCTCGAGCATTTCTAGTAGTCCATTTCGAAGTTCATGAACGGTGTTAGTGGCTTCACAACGGTTCAAGTTATACATTTCTCCGCTCATCGCTTTGCCATATTCGCTCTTCGTAGCGGAAATGCTGAGATTACGTTGTAGACAGCAGATCAAGTTAAACACATAAAGTTTTATGGCTGTCTTCTGTTCTGTTTGAAACAGTATGGTCCATAATCATAGGAAAGAAATTAAGAAAATAATTTTTAAATGTCATTCCAATGTTAATGAATTACCTTGTCCAGTTAACGTATTACTCAGATTATATTTGTTTCCAGTGTTGCGTCAACTGCCGTTCTGTTATGTCATATACAATTGTCGCAGATCCTATTAGTTATCAGTAATGAATGCGTGCAGCGTGAGATATATGTCTGCGACGAAATCATTCACAATGAGTAGATTTTAGCAAAGATAATTAACCACCTTTTATTATCATCCCGCCATTCACTTGGTAGCCTCTGAATTGCGAATTAGCTTTGATGAGCCTGTTAATCTTTGAGAGGTTTAGTTGCAATATTTTTCAAGAAAATTGCCCGGGTTAGCCAGTCTCCAAGAAACAACAGCATTAACTATAATATGATATGCATAATTACATAATATCATTGTATACTCCACCGTACTAAGATTTTGATTAAATATTCAATTTTTCAATATTTAAATAACGACTAATTTTTGGGAGAATGGGAATACATGTAACGTATCGAATTTCATTAATAAACATCTCTCACATGTAAGCCGACACCAAGAAGAGTAAAATTCTTATAGCCCCAAGTTGAATGGATCAAAATTGGTGAAAAGATTAGATAGCAACCCACCTTTCAAGCCGTACCGGTCATCAGAATCACAATAAACGAAGGAAAAAACGTTCATGCAACAATTTTTCAAGCACCGAATAGATATTGCGCTTTAATGCACAATCTGGATAGTGTTCACTTATCTTTGCTAGGTCATGATAGAGCAAAAGTGCAAAGAAACCTTCGTACTTTCAGTAGCTTCCTAAATAATTTTGGTATTAAGCCACTAGCAGAAGCATCGGCCCTCTTCGCAGGACCAATATCTTTGATAAAGAACATCATTGTGCGTGCTTTTCTTTTTCATTCTAAAACTGTCGAAAGTAATACAGAGGTAAACAATCATCGTCGAATTCGAGAATCACTTCGAGTCACGAATCACGTCGAATTCGAGATTCACAATTCGAGAATCATTTCCAACACATCTCGTTAAAGCACATGGAACTCGTGAATCCAACGCAAAATATTGTTATACACTGACGTCTTCGACAGTCAGGGCAATATGTACGAACTGGCTGCGTGTATTAACTGATGGATAATGTTATTTACTAATAGTGTAGAAAAGTTTGCACTATGGTACGGGTACGGACATTCTCATCATGACGTATCGGTTTCATGACTTGTCAGGTTTCCCGTTTGTTGGTGTAGACAATAACACATCAGACCGGCGGTCCAATGAATTGTGCCCGCGATTTTAATGCATATACTCGGAAGGAACTCCGAGATACGTTTTTTGGTACCAATGCACAGAGATTCGAACAGCAGCTGGAATTTAAATGCTATGATTCATAAGAACTTGTTAATTTTGCTTCCATGATTAAGATCAAACCAATAAAAACAGGCATTTCTTTCTCAAAGTCCTACCGTCAGAAATACTACAGCATCTCTTATCGACATAAAATACATTTCACGTGCTTTTCTAAGCACCTATCTATATGCACCATTAAGCGCGCAACATTTTTAAGAAAAATTATCGCTACAATGCTATAATCAACATTGGCATGGTTAAAATACGTATCATTTTAAATTTGGTAAAATGAAAAATGTATTTTTTGAAACTAGACAAATAAAAATGGCGAAACATTAGTTCGGTTGATTTAAGGCATGCACCAATTCCTGAGTATCTAATGCCATCATGGGGGCGAAGCTCAACATTCAAAGGACGCCATCTGAACAATACTGAGAACACCACACTGCAAGCGGACAGTGATGAACACTGCCCCTGCTAATTGAAACCGCACTCAAACTGCAGCGAAAACGGACCAACTGAACACGATCAAGACTAGGGCGATGAGAAATCTACAGGGAACAGGGAATATCGGAGATGAAGGTCTAAATGAAAAACAGCGTCACTACCAAGATCTTTATTTCTGTACCTCACTGCAATCAGACAGTTTTGCAGTATGCAATAGAATTGACCATTTATACAAAGACGTTTACACGTTGATTGAATAGCCTCTAAACAGCACTGGTTGCGATGCATGTTGAGAAGACTTAACGATATGACTGTGTTATAGCTTTAGCTGACTTCGCGGAAGTAGCTGGGGCAATCAGAGACTGTAGCTTGATATTATTCATTTCCTAGGCAATAACCAACCTTAGTTGACTCATCAACTGCTGAAATATGAATCCAGTTAGGAACGACGAAAAATCAGTAGCGAACACATCACGTAACATAGGAAATTAAACTGAAATCTGTTCATGGCGATTAATCTTTCCTTCTTCAATGCAGTAAACATTTGCTAATACCAAAATATTAGAAGTCGAGATGTGCGGGCATCACTAATCTTAGGCAGCACATGGTTTAATAAACCCAATCAACCCCCAGCGAAGCAGCACGAGATCATCTAAAGTTAGAATGCTGTTGAAGGTTCCCTGACAAATCGCTGGCTTTGTCTGACAAACCGGCACCCGGTTGTACGTTCTGACGCGTCATTCTTTCAAGCAATACGGTCTTAGAGAATGAAAGCAACATTTATTTGACTCCATGAGAAAATGGCAACAATTACAGAGGGATGATTTCTGGAAATAGATAGAAACAGATAAAGCATCGAAAGAAATGCTTCGTCTTAAATTTGTGATATGCGGGAGCAGGCATTGCATTGTATTCAATGCATGATTTTGCAATCATTTCAAATTTAGCAAACAGTAGAATGTCGGTGTAAGCGATGAAAGAGGGGAGATGAACATTCGTTTAACTTAATGTGCAGATGCTTGGTTATCAAGTTTGCTGTTTTTTAAATTTGGTAATGGCCTTTGAACGTTTTCAAATTTTGGACAAAAGTATATTAGGAATGTGTATTTTGACTAAAATGCTGTTGCTAAGACCCGCAGTAATATCGCCACAGCGTTTTATTGCCCGAAACTACGCCTTCTCACCGTCTTGCTACCTCACCCCTCACTACTCGAGCTTAGCGACACCGTAGCTGATTGATTTTCCTTATCAGATCTATTTGCTACCTTCGCTCGTCGGACGGCTGCTGGTTAGCCATGCTGCATCGTCGCAGCTTCATTAAAATCGATACGATTTCTATAACGCAGACGTCACGTGATACCATAGGGGTGATGTTACCGTACACAGGTTTTCTCACTTCGGCGGCGAACAGGCGTGGTTCGGCGTCCGAAGAGTAGTGACGAAGTACGAGGTAGTTCAGTGTATTACGATCAGATGCGAAGGAACCTTCGCACGGTACTCTCAATCGCACCGAACGTTCAAGCGATAGAAACGCACGGTGTGGGACGAATTGCGCATTTCTCGCTAACGATGTCCCTCGTTTACCACAGAGTCGAGGACGGCTGAGCGACTCAGCAATTAGTCGGTCGCTGATTCGCCGAGTCGGCTACGTCATTACGATGGCGGTCGTGCGTTGTGCTATCTAAAAATGGTCTATTCGAGTCAAGAAAGGAACGGGGAAAGAAAGGAGCTCGTTCGAATATTGACGGAAACCGCTGCCACCTACACGGCGTAACAGGCGTAGCGAGGCTACGGTGAAGCGGTCGGCGATCGGCACCGGTCAATAACAGCGTCCTATGCCGGCATCGATCGATCAGAACCCGGCGAAGCGCTTTAGTTTAAAAACTTGACCGTCCAATTGGCCGCTAAGTACAAAAAATTCATGTCTACTTTCAATGACAGTGATGTGGATATGCACGACATTCGACGGCAATGACGGCCACCGCGGCCACGTATTAACTTCGCTTCAGTACGAGCGTACTGTAACTACTGTTGTTAACTGCCTACGCATACATGAGGTGTCTGTAGGCAACAAAGCACTGCAGCCAAAGAAATCGTACGCTTCAAATTGATGATCGTTTATTCTTTAAGGTCATAGAGGCACATATGTGTGACAGTGTTTTCAATATTCCCGATCCTGATCTAGTGTTTGAGCTTCGGCAGAAGATGACTCGAGTCTTGAGCAGTGTGTTGATGCACCTACCCAAGGTCATTCTTAGCCTTTCACATGGTCTTTGGTGGATCCGTTTGGCATTTAGTAACTGTATCGCCTTCTTTCTTAAAGCTTTCACAAGACGTTACCCCAAGTATTGCAGCTATGACTTCTTGATCTGGAGAAGCATCGCCTGCACACCAAGGATCTATCTCATGTCACTGCTGAAGGCAGTGTCGAGATGTACGAGTTCAGCAATTCGTCTCAGAAAACCCATTTCAGTCGTTTGTACCGTTACCGAAGTTTTTCATTTATGGCTCTTGACTTATGACCGTAGGGAAGCATTGGGATGAAGATGTACTTAAGCACAGAGAAACCGCAGCTCCGCACTAGTCACAACGGTTCCGGCTAGTTCACACTGAACGCCACTGGTCATTCCAATT